TGGGTTGGATTGGATTGGGTTGGATTGGACTGGATTGGGTTGGACTGGATTGGGTTGGACTGGATTGGATTGGATTGGGTTGGATTGGATTGGATTGGATTGCCCCAGGAGTCTGTTGCTCCTTCTGCAAGTCGAAGGAAAGGTCCTTTCAAACTGCAGGTACCTTTGGCTGGCATTAAAACGTGCCCTAAATGTGATCCACACTGAGCATTGCCAGAGCTGCTTTCTCCTCTGTTTATTCATTGCTTGTGCTTTGTCTCAGGTCCCCCCCACAGTGGGAAAACTGCTCTAGCAGCAAAAATAGCTGAAGAATCCAACTTCCCCTTTATCAAGATCTGTTCTCCAGATAAGATGATTGGGTTTTCTGAAACAGCCAAGTGCCAGGCCATGAAGAAGGTAAGTACAGGTCCTGCTCTCTGCCTGATCACAGCCCAGTTCTGGGTTCTCTCAGGGAGGGAAAGGTAAATCACCCTTGGGATGGTGTTTTCTGCTCTCTCTGGGTCCAGAATTTCTGTGCATGTATTTATTTGTAAAGTTGAGTGAATCATAGAATTGTAGAATGATCTGGGTTGGAAGGGACCTCAAAGCCCACCCAGTGCCACCCCCTGCCATGGGCAGGGACACCTTCCACCAGCCCAGGTTGCTCCAAGCCCCGTCCAACCTGGCCTTGGACACTTCCAGGGATCCAGGGGCAGCCACAGCTTCTCTGGGCAACCTGTGCCAGGGCCTGCCCACCCTCACAGGGAGGAATTTCTTCCCACAATCCCATCTAAATCTATCCTACTACAGCTTAAAGCCATTCCCCCTTGTCCTGTCACTCCAGGCCCTTGCAATAATGTTTTTGTGGCACTGGGTGACTCAGGGAACGTTTCAGAGCCTGCTCTCTGGGTCCTTGCCTTCTCCATTCTCAGTTTGTTCCTCTCAGTGCTGCTGTGTTTGCTGAAGCCACAGCAGCAGGTCTGGCTGTGGCTGTTGTATTCGCTGCTGGGTTTAACCCTGAGGGGTTTTGCTGGTTGCAGATCTTTGATGATGCCTACAAGTCCCAGCTCAGCTGTGTGGTCGTGGACGACATCGAGCGCCTGCTGGGTGAGTCAGAGAGGGAGAGCTGTGCTGGCTGCTGCAGCACTGCTGATATACTGACACACTGAAACACCGCAGACTGGACATGGTCTGGAACCACTTGCTTTGGGAGCACTGGGCTGGTTTTGATACAGTTAAATGTGCATCTGCCCGTGGGCATTAAAGCACATTTTTCCTTTCAGATTACGTCCCCATCGGACCTCGCTTCTCCAATCTGGTCTTGCAAGCCCTGCTTGTGCTGCTGAAGAAGGCCCCCCCTCAGGTAAGGCAGAGTGAGGTGCCCTGTTCCTGGAGGAACTGGGGCAGGGGGTTTTGGGTGTGCTGGGAGCTGCTGTGCTGCCAGTGGTGTCGGTGCCTTTGTCCCTGAGTCAGCCACGTTAATCCCAGCCTGCTGCTCTTCGTCCACTTGGACATTTCTGGGATAACCACAAAGGATTCCACTTGAAATACCTAATTACTGAGGGCTGAATCTTCTGCAGTCTGTCCTAAAAATACTGACTAAGGAAACCCCTTTAAGCTTCAGCATGTAAAGCTGAAATATTCCAGCTGCCTGTTCTCTGAGGAGCTGTTTGGGCCAGACCAAGCCCTGGCTCCCCACGTGCTCCCTCCCTGTTTATAAATCAATTTCTCTGTGATCTGTGACTGTGGTTGTCAGAGGTGTTGTTTGTTGTTAACCTGAAATGATCAGGTGTTAATTACAGTGACTGGGGAGGTGCCTCTCATGCTGATCCTCAATGAGATTCAAGAACATCCCAAGTGCTGCGGGTTCTGCAGCTCACCCTGAACGAGACAGGCAGGCAGGGCCTCCTTTCTTGTTTGCCATTTCCCTGATGTTCACTGGATCTCTGCTCTCTGTGCATGAATAAATAGCATCAGAACAGGAACACCTTGACAGTTGGTGTCAGGAAACAGCAGCTAAGCTGGGTGAAGTCAGATTTTTGTCATGTTTAATATCCTGGCACAGCAACCTGTGCGTGAGTGTTGTTTTCATTAGAGAGACTGGTGAAAAGAGCTTTCAAACACAGGACTTTGAACTCAGTTGTAGTGCCACAGGCCCTGAGTTCCCTGTGTGACTGTCAGCCTGGGAGAACAAAGATTTCCCCAGTGAGCTTTCTAGGCCACGTGAAGTCTGTGACATAACTGTACCCAAGTTTCAGCACGTGGTTGGGACAGAGCCTGTGTGCAACAGCACAGCCTGATCCCAGAGTCTCATGGAATCATTGACCTGTTGCTGGGTGTTCCACAGTGCCAGGAGGTGATTGTTCCCATAAATCAGTAGGAAAAACAGGGCTTGATTTGGTTCAGGTTTTGGAAGGAATTTAAAATATTAAATTGCCCATTTGACCATGCTGAGTGTGTGTTGCTGCTGGGCTGCTCTCTGGTTGGCACCTGGGGCTCCCAGGGGCAGGACAACGGGGCTGGAGCTCACAGGCACTTGCCAAGTTTGTGCATGTTGCAGAGGTTTGTGCTCAGCAGGGTTTGAAGTGCCCTGGGGGCTTGGGAGACTCTGCCTTGACAGCCAATATTATGGTGACTTAAGCCATAAATTGTTGGAGGGCAGGGAGCGAGGTTGCTGAGGAAATGTCACTCTTTGATTGATCATGTGGGGGGTTTTGGTTTTGTTTTTTTCCCTAAGTGTCCAGAGTTGGCTCGGTGGGAATCACCATGCATTTCTGTGGGACTGGGATCGTGGGTTAGGATCATTCCCTGTGAAAATGGAGTGTCCTGGGGCATGCCAGGCATGTCCCTGTGCTGAGAGAAATCCATGGCAGGTGCTGGGGAGACAATTCCTGCCCCCCATTGCTGTCAGTGGGGTCTTCAGGGTTTCTGGATTTCAGAGATTCCTGGAATGGTTTGGGTTGGAAGGGACCTCAAAGCCCATCCATTGCCACCCCCTGCCATGGGCAGGGACACCTTCCACCAGCCCAGGTTGCTCCAACCTGGCCTTGGACACTCCCAGGGATCCAGGGGCAGCCGCAGCTTCTCTGGGCACCCTGTGCCAGGGCCTGCCCACCCTCCCAGCCAACAATTCCTTCCCACTATCCCACCTAACCCTGCCCTCTGGCACTTTGAAGCCATTCCCCCTTGTCCTGTCCCTCCATCCCTTGTCCCAGGTCCCTCCCCAGCTCTCCTGTGGGCTGGAAAAGCCTGGACCCAGGACTGAGGCAGCGGGAGCCCCACAAGCAGCGGGCAGGAGCGGCTGCAGCTGCTCCATCGCCGTGGCCCAGATTAGGAATTCACTGGGGTGTCACAGCACTTGATGTGCAAACAGCTCCCTGCGATCTCTGTGTGGAAGACAAGCATTTCTGGGCTGAAACGTTATTAATTATGCATCGAGGTGTGCGTGTCTCTGTTGAATTGGTGCATGGGAGCTGCCTCCCAGGCTCCCCTCTTCCTGGTGAGGCTGCATTATTGGAACGTGGTGTGGGAAGGGCAGACACTTGAAGGTTCTGGTTTTCTTTTGAGACTAAACACTTTACACTCTAAATAAACTAGAAACCTCTCTGAGCTTGCTTTAAATTCCCAGTCACAGCTCCTGCTTGTGGTTCCACTCAGCAGTGTTAAATAGTGGTATCTGTTACTGCTGGTTCCAGGGGACTGAAAACCATTGCATTTTGTTTAGCATCTTTTTTTAAACCAATTAAAAAATCTTTTCTGAACCAGCTTGAAGGGAAGAAAATAAACCATGTTCTCTTGGGCCTTTAATTCAATGAAGTTCCCCTGTGTTGTGCAGGGGAAGGGACTGGGGGGATGGAAAGGCTGAAAAGGGCTGTCTCAGCAGGGAGCCGGGCGGGAGAAAAGCACTTCCCTGAGAACCGAGCACAGGCAGCTCCCGGGGCCGGGGCTGCTTCATCTACATGAGAGTCACACAGGGCCTGGAGACGCTCCCCAGCCCCACAGAGCGTTCACATGTGCTTCCCTGCTGCTTCCCAACAATTGCATCCCCGGGGGCAGGACCAGCAGCATCCCCGTGGAGCGGGGCATGCGGTCTGGGCAGGGCTGGGGAACATCTGCCTGAGTGGGGTGCTCTCAGAGGGAGACCCACTCGCTCCTGGGGCTGCCCTTCCACTGCTCCTGAGCCCCCAGTCCCTTCCCTCAAAGGGACACCCACTCCTGGGGCTGCCCTTCCACTCCCAGCCCCTTTCCTTAGTGGGACACCAGAGGCTTTTGTTGATTTATGAGAGTAAAGGGGGGAAATAATCTCCCAGTTTGATCTAATCCCAGATGCATCCCTGATTCCACATCCCTTGGTGTGAATTGGAAGCAACTCCAGTCAGCAGTGACGTTCCCTTTGTACCCATAAACCTGGGGAATGGTGTTTTCCCCCCTTCCATGTGAGGAATTGCTGAGACCCTGAGCCCAAGGATGAAGGTGCTGCCTTGTCCCGAGCACAGTGAGCAGCTGGTGGGTGACAGAGCCACTCATGTCACCAGTGCCTGTTCCCAGCCCAGCTCAGGCTCCCTCCCTGCCCTTCCCTGTGCCTGGGCCTGCCTGGGTTTGCTGGAATTCCATAACTGGAGGCTCCACTGAGGAGCTGAGGCTCCAGTCTGTGTAAACCTCGTGTTCTGCTTTCCCTCAGGCACCGCTGGTGCTGTGGTGCAGGAAAACATCCCCTGGGGCTGGAAAATGCAGTGGGTTCATCCTTGAGTCCCACAGTTCCCAGCATGGCAATGTCCCTGAGTCACCTGCATTCCCTGCAGCAGAGGGCTGGAATCTGGGATTATCCTGTGGGGGCAGGACATACCTCTCTACAATCCCCCTGCCAGCACAGAGGGATCTGGGGCTCCAAATTGGAGCATTTGGCCTAAAAATGGACAGGGTGAATCCAGGCTGTGTCTGATCTGTGCTGGTGAAAGGACTGGGCTAGAGCTGCCTGAGTCCAGCTGAGTTCAGCTCATGTTTGGTGATTCCATCCTGTGTTCCCTGGCTTTTATTCTGAGGAGCTGCAGTTCTCCCCCTCATCTCCTCTAAACCATAGAGGGTTTTATAGACCTCTCTGTTTACCACATCAATTCACCAAAGATTTATTCAGGCAAGTTATTCCATATTTCTGACCATCCCCAGCTCTTCCCCCTGATTTCTCCAACTGAATAGAATCCCAGAATGGTTTGATTGGAAAGGACCTCAAAGCCCATCCAGTCCCCCCTCCTGCCATGGGCAGGGACACCTTCCACTAGCCCAGGTCGCTCCAAGCCCTGTCCAACCTGGCCTTGAAATGATGGCTTTGAAGTTCTGTTTGAAGCAGAAAGGGCTGCACAGTGTCACAGGAGCTCCCTGGGCTCACGTGGCCGGTGAGGACCCTGTTTTACCCTTTTCCCACTCTGGAACTGTCTGATCTCGTTCTGAGTGAGGTTGAACTGAGCTGGTGCTCCCACAGAATTCCCACAACAACCCATTCCAGTGGTTTTCCTCGATGGCAGTGAGGCATTTAGAGCCACTTCTGTCTGTGCAGGATTTGCCTGCTGACCCAATTTTGGGGTTCAGCTGACTCAGTGGGGCTGCCAGGGCTGAGCTGGCTGGGGAGGAAACGTTTGCTCTGTGAGTGCAGGGTGTGGGCACCTTCTCTGGGAGCAGAAATGTGTCATCTGGGCTTCCTTTGAGGAGGAAATGCTGGGAGTGAGACCAGTCATGGACCCCTGAAGAGACAGGAGGTAAAACTCCCCTCACTGGTGACATTCCTGTGCTGCTCCTGTCCTTCCCTGGTCAGACCTTTCAGTCTCTCCTGAAGCCCCAAACTAGGCCCATTTTTATGTAATCAGACACAGAGTCCATCATGTAGGAGCTGCTGGGGTGGGATCCCTCAGGCAGTGACTCTGGAGTTGCTGTCCCTTTGATTGATGCCTGGTCTGCTGTGCCAGGCACTGCACACATGCTGGGAGCTATATTTGGGGAACAAGCACTGCTCCGGTGCAGTTCAGCAGGTTTTTTTCCCCCCTAAAATGCTCATAGTTCATGGCAAACTGTTGTTAACACAACCCCTTCCCCAAGCTGTTCTGGAGTTGGGGTTTCTGACAGTAACAAGCAATTTTTTATGAGAATTGCCAGAGCTGGGGAAGCAGATGGGTCTGGGTGGTGCAGCACTTGCAGGAGGGGTTGCTGCATGTTTTGGAGGCCTCAGTCCTTCTCTGGAGTGTGTCTTTGGCTTCCTTTATTGATGAGCATCACTAATTGATCCTGGTCTAAAAGGGCTGAAAATCTCCAGTGGAAGGTGTCCCTGCCCATGGCAGGGGTTGGGACTGGATGGTCTTTAAGGTCCCTTCCAACCCTACCCAGTCTGGAATTCTCTGAAAATGGGCACCTGATGGGGCTTGCTGAGTTCCTGAGGGGTGAGGATCCAAATCCACTCATTTCCTCTCCACTGGGTGTGTTGGGTTCTCATCTTTGCCTGCCACCCCTTCCTGAATTGCTGAGGTTTGGCTCAGATTCCGTGGTGTATTTTGCTGGCCTGGCTGGCCAGTGACCATCAACAAGGAAACAACCACTGAGCAGCGGGGGAGCCGTGGCCATGCAGGGGGTAGTGGAAGCAGCAGGCTGTGGAATGGGACATAAACCCATGGAGTGGCTGTCCTGCTGCTTCCTGAGGACACTGGGCCTTCCCAAGGTGACCTGCAGACAGTTTGGGACCCTCAGACCCATTTTTGTGTGCTGTGTGCTGCCAGCAGCTGAGTTTTGTCAACTGATAATGCATTCCATGCCCCCACTGCACTCCTGGATGGCATTTCCATCGTCAGTTCAGGAATTGGCTGTCCAGTGAATGCAGCAGCTCTTGGGGAAGAGCAGGCACTGTGAGATGCACTGTTTGTGCCAGAGGTGTGTTGGGTTTAAATGGGTTTTCATCCTCTGCCAAAGGAGTGCAAAGCACTGATGGGATTCAGTCTGGGAATAGTTTTTAGGGTTTTGTTTTTGTGGTGATGAGCAGAGTTTTGTGTCATGAAGTTGAAATGCAGAACTTGTAGAGAGCCATAGAATCATAAAGTGTCCTGAGTTGGGAGGGACCCCCAAGGATCATCAAGGCCAACTCCAGGACACCCCAACAATCCCCCCCTGTCCCTCAGAGCGTTGTCCAAACCCTCCTGCAGCTCTGGCAGCCTTGGGGCTGTGCCCACTGCCCTGGGGAGCCTGTTCAGTGCCAACCACCCTCTAGTTTGGCACTGGAACTTTCCCTTTGTCTGTGAGCATCAGCCAAACTGCTGAACAGCAAGAGAGGAGGATCCATGGCCAGCCAGGCCCCTCCCAGCCCAGGGGCTCCCTGGGTACCGAGATGGAAAAGGGACTGATCCCATCTGATGATCCCAGCAGCTCCTTCCATCAGCCAGTGCTGATCAGTGTCTGACCCCTGTGTGGGGAAATCCAAATTGCACTGGAAAGGCCTCTGCAAGAGCAGTGAACAGCAGTGGATTTGTACTGGCAGCTGATGTTTTCCACTCATAGCTCGTTATGTACAAACCCTGATTTTCTCAGGCTGACTTAGGGTTGGTGTGTGAACAGTGGATTGGGGCCTGGGGGCTGCCAGGGTGGGACTGTCCTGTGCATCCCACTGCAGTGGGAACTCAGGGACTCACAGCAGCCTCTGCTCCAAAGCCAGTGCTGGAAATCCATTGGAACTGTCTGTGCAGGGACAGAGAATTCCCTGTACCCACAGGTTCCTAAAGACAGGCTGTTCCCCCGAGGAGTCATTTGTAATTCAGCTTTTGGGAGTGGGAGTTTGCTCAGGCTTTTAAATTTAATGAGGATCCAGCTATTTATAGTGCTGGATTCAGAAGGAGCAGTGAGGTGGCAGAGCTGGGACTGTGTGGGGAGGTTCTGTGCACCCGAATTTTTGGACCCTGTAGCTGCCACTACTCCGAGATCTGATCCCGGCCCTGTGTGCTTGGTGTTGGCTCCTTCAATTACTGACAGATTTAATCCTAATAATTTCATTTGAGGTGGGTTTTTTAGGGGCCATTTTACCACCTGTGGTTTGCTGGAGCTCCCTCAGGCTGGTTTGGCCTCCTGTTCTCCCCTTCCTGACCCTTTGTTCCCTGGGCAGGGCCGGAAGCTCCTGATCATCGGCACCACGAGCCGCAAGGACGTCCTGCAGGAGATGGAAATGCTGAACGCCTTCAGCACCACCATCCACGTGCCCAACATTGCAACAGGGGAGCAGCTCATGGAGGCCTTGGAGGTGAGGAACAGCTCAGGGGTAACGAACAAGCTCAGCATTTGCTGGGAATGGGGGATTTTCCAGTGGCTCTTGGCTTGGTGGCATTGTCCCGCTCATGACAGCAGTTCCAGGGCTTCTCCCGGTGACTTTTTCATGCGTTAAATTAAGGCACAGTCAGAGAACAGCAGGTCTGGGGGAGAGGTTTGTGGTGTGGATTGAAAGATTCCACAAAGGGCAAGGCAATGGGTCTCACCCTCAGTGTGCCCAGAGGG